ATAAGTTAAATAAGCAGGGTGACAATATACAGCCTTGACGTACTCCTTTTCCTATTTGGAACCAGCCTGTTGTTCCATGTCCAGTTCTTGTTGCTTCTTGACCTTCATACAGATCTATCGGGAGACAGGTCAGGTGGCCTGGTATTCCCATCTCTTTCAGAATTTTCCACAGTTTGTTGTGATCCACACAGTCAAAGGCTTTGACACAGTCAATAAAGCAGAAGTAGATTTTTTCTGAAACTCTCTTGCTTTTTCGATGATCCAACGGATGTTGGAATGGTCTCTGGTTCCTCTGCCTTTTCTAAATCCAGCTTGAACTGGAAGTTCATGGTTGGCATACTGTTGAAGCCTGACTTGAGGAATTTTGAGCATTACTTTGCTGGCATGTGAGATGAGTACAATTGTGCAAGAGTTTGAACATTGTTTGCCATTGCCTTTCTTTGGGTTGGAATGAAAACTGACCTTTTCCAGTCCTGTGGCCACTGCTGAGTTTTCCAAATTTGCTGGCATATTGAGTGCAGCACTTTCATGGCACCATCTTTTAGGATTTGAAATAGCTCAACTGGAATTCCACCACCTCCACTAGCTTTGTTTGTAGTGATGCTTCCTAAGGCCCACTTGACTTTGCATTCCAGGATGTCCGGCTCTAGGTGAGTGATCACATCCTTGTGGTTATCTGGGTCATGAAGATGTTTTTTGTATAGTTCTTCTGTGTATTCTTGTCACCTCTTCTTAATATGTTCTGCTTCTGTTAGGTCCTTACCATTTCTGTCCTTTATTGTGCCCATCTTTGCATGAAATGTTAATAAATAATACATTCATACATTTTTTAATTATTTAAAAATAATCTGTACAGTGAGGAAATCTTCCCATCTTAATTCTCCTCTCCTCACATCTCACAGCAGAAAATTAATATTAATTTCTGTTGTGTCCTTCAAAAATTGCATGCATTGACAAGAAAGCATGAAAATAAGTTCATGATTATATTTCTTTAGACATAATTTATAAACATGAAAATGCACAGGTGTTGGACTTGAATATTTGTGTCAAATGTTAGCACTCAAGGAACCACTATTCCAAAAAGATGTAGAATGTTTCCTTCATTCATTCAAGAAAATCTCTTTGTGATCTTTGTCATTCTCCCCTGCAAATACCACCATAGTTAGCAACCACTTTCTAATTTCTAACATCATAGACTAGTTTTGCTTTACTTTAGGTTTTATAAAAATGGAATCACATGACATGTATTCTTTATCTGGCTTTTAACTCAGCATTAAGATTTTAATGTTCATGCATGTTGCATTATCTGCAGCTGTTCCTTTTAATTATCAAATAATGTTCCATTGTGTGTATAGAATCCAAAGGTTTTATTACTTTTTTTCATTTATGGGTGTTTCCATGAACATTCTAAAGTAAATCATTTTGTCCACAAGTTTCCATTTCTCTTGGCTAACCACTTACGAGTAGGATCTCTGGATCCTAGGTAGATGTAAACTAGTAACTCATGAGAGAGTTCAAGTTCCTTCCTTCATCAGTTGACCAACGTTTGCTGTAGTGTGTTAATAGTGCCTTTTTATTTTTTGTATTTCTGATGTTTAGACACCTGTAGTTCTCCTATTCCTAGAGATGATGAATGATTCAACTGCAAAGCCACCTTTTATATGCAAATCAACCAATTTAGAACTCAGTATTTCAATTGCCTCCTTTGTCAGGTTCTCACAGTTCTGATCCACTGGGCAACCTAGTCACTTGTATAAAAGTGTCTGGTATCTAGGATGCTATATACACGTGGGAGCGCTTGATAAACTACATTTTCATTGCCTTCTGAGTTTTACTGAGGCAAATTTATGCCTGTTCTGCAGAGTGGTGAGAGTGTGCTCTGTCTGAACACATGGTCAAATGTCTTAGGCCATTTCCCAGATGACTGATGATGTGTATCTTCCCACGAACATAACGATCATTTGTATATTTCTTTTCTGAAGTGTCTGTTCCAAGCTTTTTAGGGTGAGGGCCTGTGCTTAGAGGCTTGCAGGATCTTAGTGCCCCAACCAGGGATCCAACCGGGGCCCCTTTCAGTAGGAGTCCTAACCACTGGACTACCAGGGAAATCCCCATTTAAACATTTTTACTTGTTTTTCACAAGCAAAAAGAGAGAGTGATTAGGAAATGCCTAATTTTCCTCCCAGTATATAATTTGCTTATTATTTTCATAATGGTATATTTTGATGAACAGTAATTTTTTCTTAAGTTTTAATTTATCAATTTTATTTTAATTTATCAATTTTATGATTACAGCTTGTTTTGTGCTATTTATCATTGCTTATCCCAAATATGAAAAAAAAAAAAGCACTCTTCTATGTTTTATCCTAGGAGCTTTATAGTCCTAACTGCTACATTTAGATATATGATCCAACTCCAAATTAATTTTGTGTGTGCAGTGAGCTTGATGTCCAAGTTCATTGTTTTCCATACACGTATTTAGTTGCTCTAGCGTTATTTGTTTAAAACTTTTCTTTCTTGGTGAATTGTGTATGTATCTTTGGCAAAAATCAATTTACAATTGGTGTGAGTCTGCTTCTGCCTACTCTATTTTGGGCCATCAGTCTGTCTTCACATCAATACCATACTCTCTTGGTTAGTATAGCTTTTTAGTGAGCCAATCATGCTTATGTAATGAAGCCTCCATAAAAATCCCGAAGGATAGATCTTTGGTCCTTTTTGGAGAATTTCCATGTCCCAGAAACAGACCACTTCCACATGCTCCTGAGCCAGGCTCCAAGCGCCTTTGTTGGAATTTTACCCCGCGTGTCTCTTCATCTGGCTGTGGATGCATATCCTTTGGTATCCTTTGTGACAAGTTGCTAATGGTGAGTAAATAGGTTTCCCCAAGTTCTGTGAGCTGTTCTAACAAATTGAACCTGAGAAAGGGATTGTGGGAACCTCTGATTTATAACCAATCAATCAGGCAGAAGCACAGATGACAACCAGGGCTTGCACCTGGCATCTCCAGTGGAGGTTGTTCCTGTGGAACTGAGCAGTTGACCTGTGGAATCAGATTCTGTTTCCAAGGAGATAGTGTCAGATTTGAGTAGAATTCTTGGACACCCTCCTGCAGTCCAGGAATTGCTTATTAGTGTCAAAAGCTTCCACACAAATATGGGGGCTGGGAACCCCACTGTGACATCATAGGGAAAGCTTCCCAAAGCAAAGAACAGACCTTAAGTACCATTATTCCTTCCTGTGTGCCTGAGGTGCACTGGATCTGGCACAGATTACCTCCTCAATTAATAAATAGAATCCAGATAAAGAATAACCCTGGGATTATTTTAATCATTTATTTACACATATTCATTTCTGATACTGACAAGAACCTATTTCCCTCAAAATCTAATCATAGTACATTATCAAAAACATATGACTAAAGCTCAAAGCTCCCAAAGTGCTCTTGCCCTTGGATGAAATGATCCTCTAGTTTTGAAACTGAAAAGTTCATTTAAATTTTTAAAAATTGCATAAACTCAAATATTATAATCTTTTGCATTCTGAATCATGGTCAGTAATTGGGTTCTGAGGATTAGGGAATTAATTGATCACTAACAAATAATTCACTAGAGAATTCTCACTAGAGAGTTAAAGAAAATTATGGAAATCATAGGTCTCTTCCATTTATATATTAAAAAGAAACATAAAATTTGATTTAATGGGAAAGAACTCTTAATTATAGTGCTAGCAAAAGCAACACACTACTAATTTAACTTTAACATAAATGGCAGAATAAGCAAACACAGAAGACAAGAAAACTGAAAAAAGAGGTTATCTTTAAAAAAATCACACAGCTGGCTTTCAGTTCCAGTCAATCTAGAATCCCTTTCCTCCAAGTCTGTTTTCACATTGGAGGGTGTAAGGGGAGACTGACTTTAAGAACTATTAGCTGACTAGCAACTTCCTCTGAGAGAGGAGTCTCACACAGTAATCAAACTACACTCAGCTATGAATTTATAAAATTTGATTCCAACGTGTGACAAAATCTTGACTCCTGTCACCAATACTATTGAGTGGTTACCACCTGGCATGAGTTGAAATGGCTTATATGAATAAACCCTCACTTTCCATTCTCAAAAGAGGGAGATGATAAAGGAGTAAATAAATTATTTTTCCAGTCCCAGGAAGATGGTTTACCAAACATCATCCCACTGGACTAAGACTGAAGCATAACAATAATATTTAATTAGGTCACTTGGAGAAGAAAATGGCAACCCACTCCATTATACTTTCTTGGAAAATCCCATTGACAGAGGAGCCTGGCAGAATACAGTCCCTGGGGTCACAAAAGAGTGGGACACGACTTAGCATCTAAACAAAAACATAGTCTCTCTAAACTACTCATGTTCATATACTAACCAGTTCAGTTCAGTCGCTAAGTCATGTCCAACTCTTTGTGACCCATGAACTGCAGCACGCCAGGCCTCCCTGTCCTTCACCAATTTCCGGAGTTTACCCAAACTCATGTCCATTGACTCGGTGATGCCATCTAACCATCTTATCCTCTATCGTCCCCTTCTCCTCCTGCCTTCAATCTTTCCCAGCATCAGGGTTTTTTTCAAATGAGTCAGCTCTTCTCGTCAGGTGGCCAAATTATTGGAGTTTCAGCTTCAACATCAGTCCTTCCAATGAACACCCAGGACTGATCTNACCTGCATACAGGTTTCTCAAGAGGCAGGTCAGGTGGTCTGGTATTCCCATCTGTTTGAGAATTTTCCACAGTTTATTGTGATCCACACAGTCTACGGCTTTGGCATAGTCAATAAAGCAGAAATAGATGTTTTTCTGGAACTCTCTTGCTTTTTCAATGATCCAGTGATTGTTGGCAATTTGATCTCTGGTTCCTCTGCCTTTTCTAAAACCAGCTTGAACTTCTGGAAGTTCACAGTTCATGTATTGTTGAAGCCTGGCTTAGAGAATTTTGAGCATTACTTTACTAGCGTGTGAGATGAGTGCAATTGTGTTGTAGTTTGAGCATTCTTTGGCATTGCCACTTACTTCTTTATATACATTGTGGACACATCTCCCAGGTCTTATTAGTTTTATTATTTCTCAGCATACATTCTCTTCATAGCCAAACCCTCTCAATAAACAATTAGTGAAAATATGTGTTTTAGCAGATCATTATTATATCTTAAATTCTGATAGTGATCGGCCAGAAATTTCAGAGGGACTGTGATTAAATTTACTTCCAATCTAATTTCTTTGTTTTTTCACCAATTAGAGGGAAAACCTAGTGGGATTTAAGATCTCAGACAAAAGGAGGTAGCGAAGGCAGCAATACTACTGCAAATATTTCCTCTTTAGGACAAAAACCCTCAGAAGGACTATAGAAAATGCCGCTAACTTTTCACTTCTCTTTACATACAATGTATCGGTTGACCAGCTTCCTCATGGCCATTTTTACTTCCTTGTTTCGCAGTGTGTAGATGATGGGATTAAGCAAAGGGAATATCACTGTATGGAACACAGACACCACTTTATCTGGGGAAAAAGAGTCAAATGGGCGAGCATAAATGTAGACGGATGGCCCAAACATCAGCACCACAATGGTGATGTGGGAGTAGCATGTGGACATGGCCCGACTGGTACCCTCACCTGAACCTGAGTGTTTCCTGAGCATCACCAGGAGGAAGGCATAGGACAGGAGAAGAGCAATGAAACACACCACGGAGATCAGACCACTGCTGAAGATCATCACTAACTCCTCGGGGAAGGTGTTGGCACAGGCAATCCGGACAACCTGTGTGATGTCACAGAAGTAACTGTCTAACTCATTAGGCCCACAGAAGGGAAGTCGAACAATGAGAGCCACCTGTATTGTGGAGTGAATGAAGCCCCCCATCCAGGAGAAAGCCACCAGAATACAGCAGAGACGTCGATTCATGATGGTAGCATAGTGGAGGGGGCGGCAGATAGCAGCATAGCGGTCAAAGGCCATCACCGTGAGCAGGAACATCTCTGAGGCCCCAACAAAGTGCAAGAAGAAGAGCTGAGCAATGCACCCACCAAAGGAAATGACCTTCCTTTCCACAAAGAAGTCTACAAGCATTTTAGGGGCTGTGATAGAAGAGTACCAAATGTCAAGGAAAGCCAGATTAGCCAACAGAAAATACATGGGTGAAGTCAGATGTGGGTCAAGCCTGATGGTGCAAATAATAAGAATATTTACTGGAAGAATGAACAAGTAGAAGGACAGAAATATAACAAATAGGACTAGTTGCACCTCCCGAGCCTGGGATAGGCCAGTGAGAACAAATTCTGTCACCCTGGTGTAATTTGCAGTTTCCATTTCTTCACTTTTTTTTCCATAAAATGGCTATGAAAAATAAAGAAATTGTTATTACTCCAAATAGCATTTAACTGGAGTTAACGGCAACACTTTAAAAATCATCAGATCTGGTCTGCCATTAAGAGATTGTACTAGCATAAGTTTTGTTGCCTGGTTCTATATTGTATAAAGATAAAGAAAGAGTAAGTGATGATCTGAAAATTAGAAACATTGAAACCATATGAAATATGTCATATATCTGACACCAAAATCTCAACTTCTTAGTGTTATTTCTATTTTTTATGAAACTCAGAAATGTACTAATCCTTCCCCTAAACATCTACTATAGTAAGTAATATGTGCAGCTGCTTCCAAGTTTAGCCAAATTTTAGACTGGTAATAAAAGATACAGTCTATTCTTTCTAGACTTTTGTGGTTGTTGTTGCTATTAATGGTGATGTGAAATCTGATCGATTTGGAAACTTGGGCTCATAGTCTAATATTGGGTGTGCTGATCTGATGGCATTTTATTTATAAACCACCAAAGAGATGCCAGGGCTTCAAGTTTAGTGAATGGATATCTTTTTCCTTTAACCAAAACTTAGAGAACTTAACCCTTGGTTATATGTAAACAACCACAAAATACAACAACGAAGGGCCCTACATGAAAATTCTTTATGTGAATTACTCCATTGGCCATGCATTTTACCCTCTGTTTCAGGTAGGTCGGAAGAAGATGTAGTAATTAGGAAATGGGTATATTTTCCACCCAAGGTGGCATTTCAAGGTGGCAGTGGGAATAAGATTATTGATAAAATTTTTCCCAAGACCTAATGTTGAACCTGTTTCTATTGGATCTAACAAAACCACCAAATAAAACTAAGATAATCATTTACTTTACCAAATATGTTTCCTCTTTTAAGTAATATAAAAAATGCCACACCAAAGTAACAATTTCTTGTGAACAACAAGCAATGCTAAAGAGTTGCTTCTGTTCTACTGATGTGCTGTTTTATAGTATTGCCTTTCCTTAGGAAGAACATATACACAAAAGTTAGGGTTCTAGAAAACCAAAGAGATACCACAGTGTCTGTGCACTGAAGCTCATGTATAATATTGACCAAAGAAATCCAGTGTTTCCACTGTGGAACCTACAGCCTCAACTCATGTATAATTTTAACAAACACATACTTCCAAATCTGTTATAAAAGCATTTTATTATAATGAAGGGATGGTTCATTACAAGTTAACACCTCCCTCCCACCCCTGCCCAGCCCATCCCCTCAAGAAACAGTGTTTGCAAAGAATTTGACACAAGAGGCAGAAAAACAAAAGCACTAAGGAAGGTCAGTGGAATTATTTAGTGTTTAGTAAAGGGGAAATATTCCAACATTCATGAATAGCCCAGTATGGGTCCTCAATGAGTTAATTAATCATGTTAAGTGAGATAAGAAAATTTACAATTCAGTTTAGAAATATCTTAATCAAAAGAAAGACAGATGATGCTGCCAGTTTTCAATCCTCAACTTTCTTAAAAGCATGGTTATTCAGAATGACGTATTTCCTAGGATTTTTGAAAGCCACAGTTTTAATGTTCTTACATGGAGAAGGTGCCCCATAGCCTACATACTAAAAGCAGAAAAAGTAAATAATTGTAAATTCACAGCATACTATTCATTTACACTCACTGACAAATCAGCTGTGAGTTTCTAACAATCAAAAGGGTCCCTAACAAAAGCATCTAGAACCTTATGATTACTTAGTGTACTTGGCTATTTTGCTAGTATGGTATGCCATTTTCAAACATGTGGAATGATTATTTGCTCTTAATAAAATAACTGCCCTCTTGTTACTAAAAGTAAATGAATATCTCAATGCAGTAAATATTATTACAAGATACTAAGTATTTTTAATTTTCAAGGGGACACTGATATGATAATTCTGATTATTATTGTGGCATAGGTCACGCTTACCTTCTCTGTCATACTCTGTTCCTATCCCATCAAAAAGAAGAGAAAATGGCACTAATCTAGAAAGAAAGAATCTGGGTGATGCGTGTTGATGTACTGGAAAGGCAAACATACTATAGGTGTTATGAAATAGGAAGGATTATCTTACCAGAAAAAAAGTGTTAAAGAGATTTATTTTTGTACCTCAATGTCTGATATATGACATAAAACTAGAAACTAATAATATACACCTCATGAAGATAACTTACCTGACTTATTCCTCAAGAAAAAAAAGTACAAAGCATTTCATCCTTCCTCCCTCCTTGGTGAATGCCTATCTCCTCTTCTACTTAGAACCAGCAAGTTACCAAACTCCCTACTCCCCCAGCCAGCACTCAGCTACTACTCATAAAACACATACACAAATGCAGCACTCTATCAAGGACAAACCAACATAAATATACCCTACATGAACATGGCCATGGCCTAAATATTATAAAACCCACAACAATTCTGACCCTGGTCTGCATTTGCGATTTGTGCTGTATGCTCAGTCAGTACTGTTGTGTCCAACTTTGTGACCCTGTGGACCGTAGCCTGCCAGGCTCCTCTGTCCTTGGGATTCTCCAGGCAAGAATACTGGAGTGGGTTGTCATGCCCCCCTCCAGGGGATCATCCCAACTCAGGGATCAAATCCATGTCTCCCGCGTCTCCTGCATTACAAGTGGATTCTTTACCTCCTGAGCCATCAGGGAAGGCCACATTTGTGATTTAATGTGTATCAAAGCAAAACTTCACACATGACATTGAAAGCTCTGTCTCAAAATGTGTAACTTCCCTGTCATTTCTGTAAAGTGTTCACTTGTTTACTCAACAAATATTTAGGGAATATTGACTACTTGTTAACAAATGAGAGACAACAGTGAACAAAGGAGACTTTCTGCCTCATTGAGCTTCCATTTTAGAAATATATACAGATAATAAATTAGTAAACAAACAGTCAGTAAATGAAAGAAATATAAATAATTAAAAATAAAATAAATATCTCCATTGATAAAAGAAGCAAATAAAAAGGGAATTATGGTTAAATAAATGATGGTGGCATGTGGTAATGTGTAGTGGTGGCTTTCTTTAGGGAAGATTATCTGAATTGGTGGCATTTCAATTAAATTTGAAATTCAGGAGAAAAGCATTTTAGGAATAGAGAACAACACATATAAAGAATGTGGCAAGGAAGAGTTTCTATGGATCTAGAAGACCTGTGACTGACTGAAGCAAAAACAGAATAAATAGACTAGACAAAGATCAAGCGTCTGAGTCCTCGTTCAGGATCTGGATTTGAGCAGCTTCCAGTATACTTTAGAGTAAAATCTAGAGAATGGCTGATTGCTATGTGAGTGTACTGAAGTGGAGTTACATGCAGGAAAAACGTTGTGGTTTAATCTTCAACAGCTATTTAGAGAAATGAGTTGCCTGTTCAGAAAATATTTAGGATAGGCAATTGGCAGGATTTAATGTTGAATTGTATGTTATTGCCACACCACCAAAGTCAGCTGGAATGTGAGCACCATAATGACAAACTTTTTAAAAAATGTATCTTTATATCTTTTATGTCTGAAATGAGGTTCATCTAGCACATTCTAGGTTCTTAACAAAATTTGACTGTCTGCCAAAAATGCTTAGAAGTGTGTGTCACACTCTAAAAAATCTTGGGATTGTGCCAATAAAATCCGGAACAAGGAATTATGTTTGTGGGGAATTCTTGGGGGGAAATTCTTGGGGTGATCCATGGAGATTGAGTCAGGACATTTCTTTCTAAAGCCACCATTTAAGAGGGGTTAATGATTTCAAGCCAAGAAGTTCTTACTCAGAGCAGTTGGTCAAGAGGGTTTTACTTCATTCTGCATTCACCCATCTATACCTCCTAAGCTTCTGGATGCAAGCCTGCTTTTTTTTGGTAGGGGGGGAGCTTTTTAAAAAGAAAAATGTTTGCTACATTAAGGTGTCCTACATAATGATTTGCTATACATACATGCAGTGAAATTATAACTACTGTCAAGCTATTGAATACATAATCACTTCCACATAGTTACCATTTTTTCCTATGATGGGAGCACCTGAAACCTATTATGTTAGCAAATTTCCAGTATCCCAATGTAGCATTATTAACTATAATCATCTTGTACTTTGGATCTCTAGACTTATGTATTCATTCTACATAACTGCAACTTTGTACATTTTGACCAGTATCTCCCTATTTCCCCCACCTCCCTACCTCTGATAACTACCATACTATTTTTAAATGGATAAAGAGATTATCATTCTGCATATACATCTATACACATATTATTCAGTGTTAAAAAAAGGAGATCCTATCATTTGCAAAAAAAAAAAAAAAGATGAAACTAGAGTATGTTATGCTAAGGAACACAAACCAGACAAAGACAAAAAACAATATTGCGTAATCTTATCCTTAGAATCTGCAACAAGTCTGCTCCTCCTTTACCAGTATCTTGTGAATTTCCATTCTGTGTTTACTCTGCAGGGATGAAGTATCTAGAGGATGACTTTGGAGATACCTAGGGGTACAGATGCCCTCCCTATAAGTGGGTGAACTGTGAACTCTCCTCAAGGGAGCAAATGCTTTGGGGAAAAACAATAATCTGTGAAGAATTTGTTACTGACAATATAATGTTCATTCATGTACCTAGCCAAGCTCTCCATAGCCACATGGAGAATAGCTGTCTTGTCAATTTAAATAACTTAGGGAGGCTTCCACATAGATCTTGAAATACCAAAAGATTAAAAGATTCAAGTTACACTCATACTAGAGGCTTAAAAGAAATTAGCTATCATCTACAACCATTGTCCATTCTCTTTGCTTAGATGAGGACATGAATAAAGAGAGCCTCAGAGTCAAAGTCACCTATCCTAGCCCGTCTTGATAACCAAAAACCAAACACTCACAATTGAAAGAAATGCTTTCAGATTGTACTTCAATAGCATTGAGTAGAAGGATTAGACTGTCACTGAGAATTGAGTGAAAATGGAAGAGAAGGAAAGGTTATATTGATGAGAAGGAAGGAAGCTGTAAAAGAAAGAGGAAGTTATTATCCTGTATTTCTTCTGCAGATGAAAATAGCCCA